GTTAACAATCTCACAACACATCAACAATATCCTTACTCTATTTTGTGTTCCCTATCATCAGCTTCCTACTCCCCTTCTGCCTTCTGGGCCTGAGACAAAGCCTTTTAAACAGTAACATCCTACACTGTCTACGCTTTGAAGCAGAAAAACTTAGAGAGTAAAGGCCAACTCTGTTGTAGTCTGTAGGTTAGCATCAGTTCACATGGTTGTATCCATTTCTAGAATGGAAGTGGGGACAGGAAGACCCATGAATCAAGGTCATTGTCTAAATACTCAAGCTGTTCTCTTTAATGATACTTCTTTGTTTGCTTCTCAACTGGACAGAAATCCCCACCTTAGTAGGGAACTTGACTAAGTCTGTGACTTTCAGTCAGTAGAAAACAGTGAGGAGAACCAAGTACATTCCCCTGGACCCTGGACAATTCTCCAGTGATCTCTGCCCTCATACGATATTTAAAAGATGGTCCATGGACTGTTTTTACCTTGTTTCCAAGGTTAGGAGTGAGGTAGAAGTTGAGCCTTTTTACTTCCAAATGGCCATCCCCAGACAGTGTTTATGGGTGGTAAATGTGGGGTGAGGAAAAAAAGCCAGAGAGAGAGTCCGAATTTCCAGGCTGATTTTTTTCCCTTAGTGATTTTTATTTATATTTTTTTAAAAATTATAGACAAAAATAGATGTAAAATACCAGAGTCACCCACAGTCATACTACTGTTAAATATAAAGTACTTCCATTTTCTGCTCTTCTCTTGAAGTTTCCTTCAATTTTATTCTGATTAATGAGAGATGCTTCAGTAGCGTTGACTTACGTTTTAGAGTTAGAATTTGCCCTGCACATACTGAGTGCTGTTTGGGTTGAGTCTTCATTTAATGTTAAAAACCCAAAAAAACCCGTTGCTAGCAAGTCAATCCCCACTCAGCAACCCTGTAGGACAGAGTAGAACTGCCCCATAGGATTCCCAAGACTGTAATCTTTACAGAAGTAGACTGCCACATCTTTCTCCCTCAGAGTGTCTAGTGGGTTTGAACCACCAACCTTTTGGTTGGCAGCTGAACGCTTTAACCACTGTGCCACCAGGGCTCCTTCTATTTAATGTTAGTGGCTACAAGTTAAAAATAAATTATAACCTAAAAATATTTTAAAGAACTTATTCCTCTGAAACCCAAATATTCCTGAATCCTTTTAATAGTCAAGGAAAGACTACTTGGTTATGAAATGTAGATTTTAAAAGAAATGACAGCTCTGATTTTTTTTCCTCTAGATTTTGGACTGGTTTGTACAGATATGTTTGGCCCTGAAACATGTACACGATAGAAAAATTCTTCATCGAGACATAAAATCACAGGTATGCTTATTTTACCACTAAGGACGTGGGGTCGGCATTGCCTGGAGCCACAAAGTTTTGGTCTTCCTTTACTTTTCCACCTTCACTATAATCCTAGAAATCCTCTGCAGCTGCATCCTGTGGTAGGTCTTCTGTTCACTTCCCATATCTTCCTCTTTCTTGGTTTATTGTCCCTTTGTGATGGAACAAATGCAGAAAATGGGTGTGTGGAATATACTCCAAGATATACATATGTTTTCTTTATACATTTTATTATGCTTTAAGTGAAAGTGTACAGCGCAGGTTAGTTTCTCATTCAGAAATCTGTACACAAATTGTTTTGTGACATTGGTTGCAGTCCCTGCAATGTGTCAGCACTGTCCCCCTTTCCACCCCCGGTTCCCCATGTCCATTCGTCCAATTTTTCTGTTCCTTCCTGCCTGCTTGTCTTTCCTATTGGGCAGGTGTTACCCATTTGGTCTCATATACTTGACTGAACTAAGAAAACACGTTCCTCTCGTGTGTTATTGTTTGTTTTATAGGCCTGTCTAATCTTTGGCTGAAAGGTGGACTTCGGGAGTGGCTTCAGTTCTGAGTTAGCAAGGTGTCTGGGGCGGGGGGGGCATTGTCTCAGGGATTCCCCCAGCCTCTGTCAGACCGTTAAGGCAGGCCTTTTTTTGAATTTGAACTTTGCTGTACATTTTCTTCCCATGCTGTCCAGGACCCTTTATTGATCCCTGTCAGAGCGGTCGGTGGTGGTAGCTGGGCACCTTCTTCTTCTGTGCTCAGGCTGATGGGGTTCAGGTGGTCCCTTCGTCCTTTGGACTGATATTTTCCTTGTGTCTTAGGTTTTTTTCATTCGTTTTTGTTCCGGACAAGATGGGACCAATAGATGTATCTGTCTTGGCTGCTAGCAAGCTTTTAAGACCCCAGACACTACTCACCAAAGTAGAATGTACAACATTTTCTTTGAACTATGTTCTGCCAGTTGACCCAGATGTCCCCAAGACCGTAGACCCCAGCCCTCAGCCCCAGTAACTCGGTCCCTCAGGTGTTTGGATGTTTCCAGGAAGTTTCTATGACTTTGCCTTGGTCGAGTTGTGCTGACTTCCCCTATATTATATGTTGTCTTTCCCCTCACCAAAGTTAACACTTGTCTACTATCTAGTTAGTGATTTCCCCTCCCCACCCCCTCCTCCCTAATAACCATCAAACATTGTTTTTTTCTGTGTGTAAACCTTTTCTTAAGTTTTTATAATAGTGGTCTCATACAATATTTGTTCTTTTGTGATTGACGTATTTTACTCAGCATAATGCCCTCCAGATTCATCCATGTTGTACGATGTTTGGCAGATTCATCATTGTTCTTTATCATCAAGCAGTATTCCATAGTGTGTATGTGCCATAATTTGCTTATCCATTCATCTGTTGATGGGCACTTAGGGTGTTTCTGTGTTTTAGCTATTGTGAATAATGCTGCAATAAACATAGGTGTGTCCAAGATACATTTTTTTTGAGGTTTTGCATGTCTGAAGGTGTCTTTATTTCATTCTTTCACTTTAATGATACTTTGGATATAAACTTCTAGGTTAGACATTGTTTTCCTACAGAATTTTGAAGCCGTTGCTCATTTGTCTTCTGGCTTCTATTCTTGCTTTTTTAGGAATTTAAAGCCATTATGATTTCTTATTTTTGTTTCCAGCGCGGTGACTTGGTGAGGTTCAGTTATCATTTACTATACCGTGTACTTTTGATCGTTTCTGGAAAATGTTCAGCTGCATCTTTTCAGATATTGTTTCTCTTTCTCTATCTACATGGTCTTTTTCTGGATCTCATTTTAGACATGTTGGAACTTGTGAATCTGTCCCTTCAAGGATCTCATTTGTTCTTTCATATTTTATCTCTGTCTCTCCCTGTTTCATTGTAGGTGAATTCCTCAACCTGCCTTCTTGTACACTGAATTCGTTTTCAACTTTGTGTAAATAAGTGTTTATCCCGTCTATTTACTTTTTTATTGTAATAAGTACTTTTTCTCTCCAAGATTTCTAATTGTATTTTCCCCCCCATATTTCTTATGTTCTTATTTATGCTTGGTTGTTGTTTCATAATTTCTTATTCTTTTTAGATGGATAGTCCTTCATTTATCTCTTTTTGTAATTTTATAACCATATTTATATATTTATTTTTGGGGGGCTTTTTGTAAAATTAATTCTATCTGGAGTGAATTCCTGTTCAGATGGTTGATTTTGGCTGTTTTTGTTCACATTAGATTTCCTCTTTTGTATTAGTTTTTTTTTCTTTTTTTTTTACACAGGCTCTTTTTGTGGGAGGTGTTTTGCCAGTAGCTCGCCTGTCTTTGCACAGAGGTTTCATGGCTGCCTTACTTGGGCCCCCTCGGTTCCCAGGGTGGGGACTGCAGAGGGGGGTTAGTTCCCGGTATCAGCGCCGTGTGTCTGTTTACTTCCCACCATAGGCTTACAGCTGCCTATAAAGCCCCGACCCCGGGATGAGGAGCGGGAAGGGAAGGAACTGTGATACTAGCCCCAGACCCCCATCTTTCCTGCCCCAAACACTACCCACCATCTCATCCTATTTCACTGCATCTGACTCCATCTCAGTTACCTCCACTCTCAGTTTTGGCATTGAGCACGTGCCTGACATAAGTCTTCTGAGAGATATGGAGTTTAGTTTTTGTTACTCCACAGACTCCTGGCTTCTGTTGTTTCATAGAGCTTTGGAGCTCTGTATTTTGATTGCAAAATAGTTGGGTAAATTATTGGAAAAATTTAAGGTTAATTTGTTACATTTAGTATAGTTAGGAATTTATACAGTTTTATTTTGGGGGAGGAGATCTAATTTCATTTTTTTAAAAGCTATATGCAGATATATTTCACATACATAAAATTCACTCATTTAAAATGTAAAGGTTAGTAATTTTTAGTATATTCATAGAGCTGTGAAACCATCACCACTCTTCAAATCCAGAACATTTTCATGATTCCAAAAAGGAACCCTGTGTCCAATAAGCAGTCTCTCCATTTTCCCCACCCTGAGACCTTGGCGACCACTACTCCACTTTTTCTCTCTGTGGATTAGCATATATTCTGGACATTTCCTGTAAGTGGAATCATACGATACGTGCCTTTGTCCATTTTTAAATTGGGTTATTTACCTTTTTGTTGTTGAATTGTAAGAATTCCTTATATGTTCTGGATACAAGCCCCTTGTCAGATACATAGCTTGCAAATATTTTCTCCCATTCTGTGGGTTTTATTTTTTTTCTTTTCGTTTTCTCAGTGGTGTCATTGATGCGCAGAAGTGTTTGATTTTAATGAAGTCTAGTTTTTTTTCTTTTGTCATTTATGCTTTTGGTGACATATCTAAGAAGCATTGTCTAATCTAAGGGCACAAAGATCTGTTCCTGTGTTTTCTTCCATAAGTTTAGTTCCTACATTTAGGTATGATCCACTTTGAGTTAATTTTTATGTGTGGTATGAGATAGGGATTTGAATTCTTTATTTGCATGTGGATATCTTTTGAACTGGATTCATTTTTATGTAAAAAGTTGACTCAAAACTGAACTGTAACATACTTCTGTTTTGTTCTGTCTTTTATAGAACATATTTTTAACCAAAGATGGGACAATACAACTTGGCGATTTTGGAATTGCTAGAGTTCTTAATAGGTAATATATCCATTATACACTTAGTGTAGATATAATGTCTTCAGTTATATTTTAAGTCATGATAATGCATATCTGACCATTTATAATATCTCTTCAGCTTCTGAAGCTTCCATAATAATTCTCTTTTTGTTCTAGTACTGTTGAGCTGGCTCGCACTTGCATAGGGACCCCATACTACTTGTCACCTGAAATCTGTGAAAACAAGCCTTATAATAATAAAAGGTATTTAAAACGATATTCATTGTATGATGTATTTGCCTTTAAATCTTTCTCTATTATACTGTACTTATTAACCTTCAGAATAGTATTCTAGCATTAATAATATCCATGTGTATATTGCTGTAATAAATGAATATGTAAATGTAATGGATATATACTATATATAATGTTTATGTATAAGTATATATATAAATGTATATATATACATGTAAGTATATATGTAGTATATATTGTAGTATATGATGAGGGAAATTGTAAAGAAGCTATTTCAGTATTATGCTGAACGAATGATAGAAAGAATTATGTTATTATTTTCATAATTGGAGCAGTGGTTAAGAGCTTGGCTGCTAACCAAAAGGTCGGCGGTTCTAATCCACCAGCTGCTCCTTGGAAACCCTATGAGGCGTTTCTACTCTGTCCTTTAAGGTTCTATGAGACAGAATCGATTTCGATGGCAAGGGGTTTGTCTTTTTGTTTTTTTAAGTCGTGATTAGAAGATAAAGCACTTTCTTTAGTTTTTCTCTTTGTAATAGTCACTTCCTAGAGACCATATAAAATCTAGTGTTTATTGTACACTTACTATATTCCAGGCAGTGTTTTGAATACTCTCTATGGATTAACTCCTTAATCCTCACCATAAACTTGTGAGATGCAGGTATTAATCATTCCTCCTTTTCTTAAAAGGAAGCCATATGCGGAAGAGGTAGAGTTCGCTTCCTCAGAGTCCCTCAGCCTAGTAAGTGGTGGAATCAGTATCCAAACTCAGCAGTCTGACCCCCAGTCCCATGTTCATAATCACTCACCTGTGCTATGGCTAACAGATTGTAATATGGGAGTGGTAAGAGGAATCTTGACATTGAATTCCAGTTATCCTTTATCTCACTCTAATTGAGAAATCCCAACCAAGAAAAATCGGTCTTAATTTTGAAGGAGCTCACGTAAGCTAAAAGGAGGAAAGGAGTAGTGTCAATAGTGCGTATGTTCATGATTGCTGCCTCTTCTTCTTTGTTTTTTTTTTTTTTTTGAGGGTGAGGGAAGAGGTGTGTTTCAAACCCTAGCAGCACAGGCTGAGGATATCATTCTAGCAGTGTATTGTTTTAATCAGTTTTGATTACAATGAAAAAATCAGTGTAGGGATTTATCACTAGTGAATATTCTAAAGGATAGCAGCATTTCCTTTGAACTAACGTAAATTTACATTTAAATGATATTTTTGTGTCTCTCGTGGATAAATCACCTTTAAAAAGATCAATCTTTAAGTTAGAAATATATTTAGTCATCTTTTGGGGAATTTTAGATAAAATTAATCTGGGGGTAAAGTGTTTTGAAAAATGTAATGGGAGAAAAAATGTAATGGGTGAGCATCATTGATTATACTGATTAAAATGCATATTTTTTAAATGCCAGATTTTAAAATGTTTTATTATTAGGGTCATTAGTTTAATGTTTATGTTATACTATGCAGTTTGTAACATGTACAAATTCCTCAGTGGCTTAATTATATTTGAAAATTTTTTCTAGTTGAACTTCAAAATTATATTTTTGGGTTATAAGTTTATATATGTAGACTGTGAGAGTTTCGGTGAGGGGAACCTTAGGACTTCAAGAATGGATTTTAGTCTTTTCAGTAAGTTCGACTTTTAGGAGTTGTAGTTTTTGCTTTCTTTAACTTCTAAGGAATCATAGTTCTAAACTCTGATGAGTTTGTTTTTCCTGAAAATAGAAATAGTTTTACTATTTTTTCTGATTATAAAAGTACCTATCTTAAAATAAAAGGTAAAGAAGGAGAGACCTTGTATAAAGAAGGTAAAGTAAATAAATTTTTAAAGTAGAATTAAATAAATTAATATATTTACTCTTTCATAATATTTCGGTTGCTATCATGGGTTTATTTCATACCAATTTTAGTAAATTAGTATTTTCTTCATGTTCATTAAAGCATATTTTTCTAATATGCTTTTTAAATATATGGCAGTATAAAAATTGGATAAAGCTGTTTGACTTTTGCTAAATAAAAATCCCTAAACAGAATATACATGAAATTCATTGATTTTGTTCTTTTAAAAATTAAACTTCTTTAATGAAATTTTAAAATAATTCCTTGCCCGACCATTATTTTTCTAATCTGGAACAGCTGCTTTTGTTATTTGGTTTGGTTGAGATTTTGAGTTTTAAAGGAGATGTTTTATAGAACACATGTTTTTTCCAAAGCATTTTCATGCTGTTTTTTAGTTTCTTTTAAATGAAAAAAAAAATTAAAAGTAAATTCTGATACTTAGGAAGTTTCTTATTTTTCTCTTCTCTAGTGACATATGGGCTCTGGGGTGTGTCCTTTACGAGATGTGCACACTGAAACACGCAGTAAGTCTAAGTTTCCAAAGTTTTAGAAAATTACTTATATCAACAAGTATCTATCATATTTTTATTATTTTTAATTATACGTCATCTTTCAGATAACCCTCTAGTATAATAAATTCTTCTAAGTCAGTTTTTAAATTTCTCCTCTTTTCTAAAGCCTAAATTTAAAATGGTTTTCCTTTAACATACATGCATGTGTTATATGTGCATATTTTATGTTTGTTGTTATTAAACACATATTTTTTCCATAAAATTATTTCTAAAGGCAGATTTAGATTTTGCTGTCTCCTTAATGTTAAACTCATTTACTGTGAATTTGATGTTTTAGTTTAGCAAATTTTATTAGTTTCATTTTGGCAAATTCTGTGAAAACATCCAAATTATTTGTAATTGGATTTGGAATTGAAATTATTTAAATAAGTTTCTCCAAAATATTCATTGAGGGATTTTGTTTAAATACTCTTGAATTAAAATGAAATTAAAATTTTTGCTTTTGAAGTAGCACATTAACATTAACACATCAGAGAGTGAGAATTTTTGTTCTCAGTAAGTTGAGTCTAAATTCTGCTTAGAAGTATGTTTCCCTGCTGGTTATACAATATTTTCATTACAGAAACTTTTAGAAAATACATAAAAATATAAAGAAGTGAATAAAAATAATAAATAATTCTTTCAACCAAATGACTTCTTGTAATATTTTATTGTTTCCTTCTAGGCTTCATTTAGGTTTATTTATAAAACAAATTATTCTTCCAAAAGTTTGATTATACTGTATAAACAGTTGTATAACCTTTTTTTATTGCTTGCTGCTGTTTAGAGGAGTATTTTTTCTTGTCATGCTTTTTAATGGTTGAATACTTTTCTACTGTATTGCCTTAGATTTTATTTTTCTTTCTTAAGGAAAAGAAAAAAAACATATAGACTGCCAAAGTGATGTGGGATGGTGGTTGTTAGAAATGCATTGGAAGGACTTGGTCCGGTTTTCTGGGACACACAGTTGTTTTAGGTCTAAACCAGTGTATCTTTTTTTTCTTTTTTTTTAATCTTTTGACCTACATTGTTCTGTCACCATTGCTTCTGTGTTTTGGAATTGTTTACTCTTAAATGGTCATGTTAAATGACATAATTCACTGCTCTTTATTTCTAAGAGCTTGTCCATTGAGAGAGAAATGAAAATTCACTGTAGTGAACGAACAAAGAACCAGATCTTTTCTGCATTTAGAATTCCTTTGTAGTTGCCAAGATGTTTCTGGAAGATTGAATTGTACACAAATTTTTATAAGTTGGAATTACATAATTAAAATGTGCTAGGAAGAGCTTACCACTTAACAGAGCTCTTTTATAATTTATGTAACCACTTTTATAAGTGATATAATTTAAAGCATATTTTGCTTTCTTAATGTAGTGCTCAGCTGTTTAAACTGTTTTATTGGAAGAGTCAACAACTACTTTCTTTCAAAATGAAATCATTAGATTTTAAACCGCCCCACTTCTGTTTTCTTTGATTTTAGTTAATTAGTGTTCATATTGTGTTTCATATTGAAATACATGTTCATAAAGTACATATTCCGGTAGATATAGCTTGTATTCCCCCTTAGGATATTGCCCATGTTGCTGATTACATGGCTTTTAGGAGCATAACTCATACAACATAGTAGAAATGAACAGAGAAATGTAATTTAGAGAATTGCTCCTTTAATGTATTGTATTATCCCCGAGGACTTTCAGTTCTGTAGTTAATTTCTTATTTTAGTTATTACACGGGGGCATTTTATTTTATGCAGACTGATACTCTCTTTGGAATATGTTAATAGATAAGCAAGTGAACCTTGCTCTGGAGAGCAAGTGGTGATGAAAATATTTGGAAGAGGATTGCATTTCTCTCCTATATTGATAGGAAAAGAACTCGTTCTCATTGCTGATAGTGCCAATTTCGGTTTATGTAAGTTTCATGTATATTACTTTATTTTCTGGATTTTAGTTTGAAGCTGGAAACATGAAAAACCTGGTACTGAAGATAATATCTGGGTCTTTTCCACCCGTATCTTTGCATTATTCCTATGAGCTCCGCAGCCTGCTCTCTCAGCTGTTTAAAAGAAATCCTAGGGATAGACCATCAGTCAACTCCATATTGGAGAAGGGGTTTATAGCGAAGCGCATTGAAAAGTTTCTCCCTCCTCAGGTATGCTTTTTTTTACTTTATAATTAAAATGTAACTTCAGGGTATGGTGTTTAACTAGGAGGTGCCCTCCCTTTCGGAAGGAGCACATCAGAACCTTAGGGGGATGGACTGCCTTTTTCTAACTGCACTGGGGTCACTTTCCACTCCGATAGAGCTCTTCCCCTTCCTGTTTGCCTTCTAGTTGTGAATTGTTCCTCTGTCTCTTGGGTTACTAACTGTACAATTATTAAATCTTTCTGTGCCTCACTTTCCACACGTATGAACAGTGGGGATTGTAAATATATTTATATCATAAGGTTGTCATGAAAATTAAAAATGATAATGTACGTAATGTCTAACATATAAGTATTCAATATATATTCAATATCAGTACAACAACATTAACTTATACTAATATTGATATAATTATAGTAATATTCTATTTAATAGGAAAACACTTGAAAACCATTGTTCTACAAGCTTTTATATATATGTGTAATAGATTACTGATACATATTTTTCCTCTAGAACTTGCATGTAGGTACATAATAAATACTTGTTGAGTTGAATTAAATTTTGATTTGACAGGATTTATAAGAAATCTATATCAAATCATTAGCATAAGTTATTCATATAAATGTGATCAACTGAGGTTCAAATTATTTTATGGTTATGTTTAGTGTGACTTTTGCTGATGTAAATAATCACTATTAAGTTCGTCTGTAAATGAGATATCTAGCAAAATCATAGATTTGTTACTTTTATATGTTGTGCGAGAAGAAGGAAGTGTATCCTGGCTTGACAGAAAAGTCATCTAAACAATTACTCTTTGGAACACAGAGATGTGGATTTAACTATTACTACCAGGAGACTATATTAGTAAGACATCCAGTCAGAATTTGAAGGTTAAAGATTACTTGTCTAGGACATGGCAACAGTCTCTGAAATGTGGGTGTCTCACAAGACTTCTTTGTTATAAATAACATTTGCAAGGACAGATTCATGGTGCATACTCCATCGTTTTTTGGCAGCTACTAGAGAAGAAAATAATGGTTTCTCTTTGTCTTGCTGAGCCCCCCTCTCCCCAATACCAGCTGTGAGGACATAGAGTTTCAAGGCTGAAGTGTTGGAATTCAACTAGCTAGCAAAGAAAGAGAAACAATTCAAGTCTGATGTACTCAAAACTTAAAGTGTGGAGAGCAAAAAGGGCAGATTATGATTATTAACAATGGAGCATTTGACAGTAGATGGTTGGTATATACATACTCCCTCAGTGCTGTTTGAGCGCCCCTTGCATTTAATTCTTCATGAAAACTTTTTATCTTGTTAAGATTTATTTTCTACTGTTTATTAGTTATTTAGTAGCCAGTTGAGAAAGTTTGTGATACATTTCTTCAGGCTACAATTTTGAAACAATTTATGAGCTTTACTGCAACACATGGACCATGAGCTATCATTTCAATGCGCTGTACAGGGTTTTCACCCCCACATTCATGGCCCACTTCTCAGGTTTGTACAACCTGGCAGCTTCTTGCATGTGGCATGACAAACCATGGATAAGCCCTTACTCACTAGGAAAATGGGTACAGCAGTTCTTGCCACTGAGGGCACACACCCTTCTTTGTTTGTGACTATTGTGGTGTCTAGAGCCATAATTTCAGTGTCCACCATCTCAGTAGTGATGAGTAGGTTTAGAGAGGTGTTTTCAGTTCCGTATCTCTCTAATAGGAAATGAAAATCCCATATGATGGAACCGTTATTCCCCTGAGCCATTGTTTCAGGACTGTCACAGGTGCCGTGACCCTCTCCTAGAAAGAGCCGAGAGGCGATGCCAGGTGGGGGTGACATACTCTTGTATAGTGAGAATCAGACCAGTCACGTGGCAGCCGTGGGTTAGCAGGGGTCCACAGATGAAATGGATGCCTTTGCAGATTGTCATAACCTTCTTCATTAAAGCAGCAAATGCCACTCAAAAACAAAGTGTCATTATACCCTGAAGAGTCAGGAGCTTTTAATAATGAAATGACTCTTTAGCAGTTTTGAAGTTAATGAGGGGTATGGATATGCATAGAAGAGAGAGATCATTCCAGATAGAAGGTCATTGTGTTAAATTGCTGAGAGATGGAACGATGAGCAGCATGTGGAGGGCTATGTGGGGTGTTAGATTAATTTGAGAAGAAACTGTCTAGGAAAGTAATAAATTGGTGAGATTGGGAGGGAACGTCGTGAGAGGAATTTGGTGAATGGATGAATTGGTTTTAGTTGTTACAGTTTATTTGACAACATAGTTGTGACTGAAAAAGGAAAGAAAAAAATGTATTCTGATTAATGGTGTGGTTTTTTTATTTTGGAAATTTAACATCTTTTGTAACCTTTTTCCCCCCCTTCAATCTAAGCTTATCGCAGAAGAATTTTGTCTAAAAACATTTCAAAAGCTTGGCGCACAGCCTGTACCAGGTAAATGAAATTTAATTTGAGGCCTTCTACCTATTTGCAATAATCAAAGCTAATTATACTACTGATACACGTAGATATAATAATTTGGGATAATTGCAGGATAGATTTGGAGCCTTGGTGGCACAGTGGTTAAAGTGCTTGGCTGCTAACTGAAGGGTTGGCAGTTCAAAACCACCAGCAGCTCTCCAGGAGAAAGATGTGGCAGTCTGCTTCCATAAAGATTGACAGCCTTGAACACAACAGGGAGTCCCTGATGGAGCAGGAGAAAAGTGGGGTGTAGAACTCAAATTCTAGTAAAAAGGCCAGACTCAGTGGTCTGACTGAGACTGGAGGGACCCCAGAAGACATGGCCTCTGGACTCTCTGTTAACCCAGAACTAAAACCATTCCCGAAGCCAACTCTTCAAACAAAGAATAGACTAGACTATGGGACATAAAATGATACTCGTGAAGAGTGTGCTTCTTAGCTCAAGTAGATACATGAGACTAAATGGGCAGCTCCTGTCTGGAGGCGAGATGGGAAGGCAGAGACTGATAGGAGCTGGTTGAATGGACACGGGAAATCGGGCAGAAAGGAGGAATATGCGGTCACAATATAGGGAGAGCAATTAGGGTCACATAACAACGTGTGTATAAATTTTTGGATGAGAAGCTGACTTGAGCTGTAAACTTTCACCTAAACCACAATTTAAAAAAAAAAAAAACCAGATTGACAGACTTGGAAACCCTATGGGGCAGTTCTCTGTCCTATAGGGTCACTATGTGTTGGAATCAACTCGACAGCAGTGGGGTTTGATTTGGTTTTTGGTAGGATAAATTTAATCCGGAGGAAAAACACCTTTAAAGTATTTGATACACGGCGATGAATTAATAACAAAATTTCATTTCTTATCTGTCTTATATAAATGTTTATTGTCTTGCGTCTTTATCAGATGCTTAGCTGACATTCTGAGAACATTGTTATAGAATGTTATGACATGTCCTAGTTAGGTATAAATCTTCATGTAGAATATTATCCTTTGAGAAATACTTCATATTTTAAAATTTTTGAAAAGGTAAGTGAATGTGAAGTCAGGCACCTTACTAAGCCTAGACTTTCTTTTAATGTGGCCAATTGTGTTAGAATATTTGTAGGATTGTGGATGTGGTTATATACTGTATGTATGTATATACATATGTTGGAGAAATTATATTTTTTCTACATATAATGATTTCAGAATGAATTTCTAAAATCAGTAGAAGTTACTTAAGATTTGAGAAGTGTATTGTTTTTCAAATATAATGCTTTGCATGTTCTAGTGTATTTTGATTTTGAGTCAGTGAATAAAAATAAGGGCCGCTTCGTAAACGTGAAGCCGTATACACTGGAAGTGGTGTGGCGATGTGTTCTCGGGGAGGTCAGCTGGACCTGGCCTTTCTGAAGGACACTTTTGCTGTTATGACTACTTGCTGTAGAGTCAACCCTACGTGTGCAGAGTAGAACTGCTCCATAGGATTTTCAGGGTTGTGACCTTTCAGAAGCAGATCACCAGGCCTGTCTTCCAAGGTACCTCTGGGTGGGTTTGAACTGCCAACCTTACGTCTAGTAGTTGAGCACTGAACCATTTGAGCAACCCAAGGGCTCCACGTAAAGACCCTTAGACCCTCATTTTCTCTCGTTTTGTGCCTCTAGCTCCTTTTACAGCATACACTGTATTTCTTTTGGCCAGGTTACAGTATTGTTATTTGTATGTGTATGCTTTGATTTGGTTTTATAGTTGAACTCTTAAGGGGAAATCTTTCTTTCCCACCATATATCCTAGTTGCTGGTTAGAATGGGTTAGAGTATGTGTTTGGAAAACCTCACCCACCACACTGTATAGCCTTAAATCATCAACACAAATTACTTGTGAATCTCTAAAAGTGCCAGCCAAATGGCTAATATTAGTTTTGTTTTTATAAAAGTTTACTAAATTATATGAATAATATGTGTTCAGTTTTAAAACTAAAAAGGGCAAAATAAAAATTATCCCCAATCTCAACACTCACTGTTATATTTGATATATTTTTTCTATGATGACATATGAAAACTCGGATTGGGGATCATTTTTTATTGTTTCTTTTAGCTAAATTATCAACACAGATAATTTCTGTTTTGTTTCTTTTAACTCACAATAGTATATTGTGAACATTTTCTAAAAATTATTCTTTAGAGAACTGAGTTTAATGGTGACATTTCATAGTAGATTACACATTAACATTTTCCTCTCCTTTCACTTCCTAAATGGAAGACTACTTGCTAGAAGAGGTCGATTTAAATTGATTTAGCATGTAATAAAATCCTGAGATAGAGAGCAGGCTGAAGAGGAAGAAAGCTGCTCCTCAGGCTGTGAGGGAGTTTAAGCAGAGAGGTACCTTAGTGGCTGTGGAAACTTGGAGAGGAAAGACGGTTTTGGTTAGGGTTGATGTGAATTACTTTCTGACCTCCTTTAATAGCCTTTGAGAGATGTGAATAGACAGTAGAATGTCTTTTTAATTGTCGTTGTTAGCCCCCACCGATTCGGCCCCCGACTCATGGTGACCCCATGTGTTACAGAGTAGAACTGCTCCATGGGGTTTTCTTGGCTGTAATCCTTATGGAAGCACATTGCCGGATATTACTTCCAAGGAGCTACTGGGTGGAATTGAACCACCAACCGTTTGGTTAGCAGTCAGTCACAGATCGCTTGCGCCACGAGGCTCCTTTTAATTAGTTTAATGGTTGTTCTTGAACTTATCATTGCTTTAAAACTGAGCCATGTTTAGGCATCAGTAGGGTTAAATAAATAATACTGCAGGGTTCATCCTTGTGTATCAATTTTTGTGTTTCTGATTGTTTCTTTAAAATCAGCTCTTGATGTACCTTGCCCTCCAAAAAGTTTGACTGATTTGTATTCCCACCTGAGCATATAAAGGTGTCCGTTTCATGGGACCCTTACCTATACTGATTGTTTTAAAGTGTTCTTCAACAGGTCTGTAAATATAGACTGTCTTCAGTATATATGGAAGAAAATATTAAAGTTGCTCATAGTAATGGAATGAATATTTAACTAACGATATTGAAGTTTATATTCTGATTTTGAAAGTATTTCTAAAACAATGATTGTTATTTTTTAAAATAATTTATTATTTAACAGCTTTATTGAGATGTAGTTCACATACCATATAATTGACCTATTTAAAGTATACAATTCGGTGATTTTAGTAATATTCCTCAATATGCATAATCATCACCGCAGTCAATTTTAGAAAATTTTTTTTATGTATGAGAAATTTCAACATTTTAGAGAAATGTGGCTTTTTGCTTCTTTCAAAAAGTGGCTTCAATGTAAAATAGTTATAATGAAGGCATTAACATGTGCTAAGGAATAAATAAGGTTTTTGATGAAAGTTTCAGATTAAATGCTGCCAATAATTGTAAAAACAAAAAAAGTAGTCTTGAAGAATTTTCAAATTAAAGATTTAACGTAAGGAACTACTGAAAAAAAAACTCTCTTTCTTTTTATGTAGCCAAAAGACCAGCCTCAGGGCAAAGCTTAGCGTCTGTTGTGCCTGCTCAGAAAATTACCAAGCCTGCTGCTAAATATGGAGTACCTTTAACGTCTAAGAAATATGGAGAGGTACCTAAAAAATTACACGAAAAGAAACCACTCCAAAAACATAAACAGGTATGATCATGTTACACACCATATGTTAGTAGCAAATCAATTTAACCTTATTTTATTGCAGCTCATTTCAGTTATCTTGTATTCATAGGATGTACCAGTGTTCTAAAAATAAGCCTTACAAAAGTCATAAAGACACATTAAGTAGATAAATTAAGTAGTAGAAACATCAAGTAGTTGGTTCAGTAAAAAGAAAATGGCATAAGTGAAAAAATTTTGAACAATCTAAGCAAAGCCTTTTGTTTTTGTTTGTAAAAGTAGTAAATATCTGTGATATACATGATAAAAATCTCGGGAAATTTTGTATTTGAGAATTCACAGTCAGATAAATAAATCAAAATCATAGAGCTGGAAGGGGCATGATCATGTTGTCTATTCTGTCATATTTCAGATGAAAAAATCAAGACCTTAGCACTTATGTGACATGCCCAAAAATACACAGAGTATTAGTTGCAGGAATTTGAGATTTTTCTTCACATTAGTATCTGCATATTTTGGTGTATGGGGCCTGTTTTGTATTACATATATGTGTATATATATATACACACACATACATACATACTTCGGTACTGTTAGATAAACTTCATACTGCTGTTAGATGAACTTTACAATAGAAACAATCAGTCACTTTGGTTAAAATTTATCATAGAACAGTTCAAAATGATTACTATAAATTGATCTTCAGATAAGTGTCAGTCAGCATCCAATCAGGAAACTTAATGTAAACAATAATTTGTATAGGGAAACTTTAATATAAATAATTATTAACTATTTTTAGGGGCTTAATCTTTAAGAGATAAAGAGAACGCTAAGGAATACCGGGATAGCAGGTACGGGAAGCGGCTCCTATTCCTAGTGCTGAGGCAGAGGGCCCAAAGAGGAAAAAAGTTCTGGAAGATCCTCGCAGCCCCACCCTTAGGGCTGTGATCAGACCTTACTGGAGAAGGTATGGCTGCAGCCCGATGGATGATGGAGTTCACTGAAGTGCCACAGGCCCCCTGGAAATGACCCCACATGGCTAATGACATGCGCCAGGAGGCCATGCTGCTGTAGATTGTCGGAATACTGCTGAAACTCTCTGGGAGGTTGCCTGGAATGCTAGCAAAATGTACCAGGAAGTCAGTTGGGGGGCTGTTGAATTTACTGGGAAGCCTGCTGAGGTGTCAGTGGACCTGGCTGGAAGTGGACTGTGGAGATCCTGCTGAGCTGTCCGTGGTAGTGCTGCTGAAGCTCGCAGAGAGGCTGGCTGGAACACGAGCAGAACTCACTAGGAAGTCATCCCCAGGAGTGCTGCTGAACTCACTAGGAAGCTATCCCCAGGAGTGCTGCTGAAGCTCGCAGAGAGGCTGGCTGGAACACGAGCAGAACTCACTAGGAAGTCATCCCCGGGAGTGCTGATGAACTCACTGGGAAGCTGGCAGAGGCTCTGGCAGACTCTCCCGGAAGCTGCCTGCAGGCAAGTGCACCATGTGTCCTGCATGTTGCAGTAAAGAAGAAAGGAAAGCACACCTTTCCTTCTACACTGTTCCTCCAGTATCGTCTATTAACAAAGCTTAACATTGGGGCGGGGGGGGTGGGGCATTGGTGGTTCCATGGTAGAATTCCCGCCTTCCATGCAGGTGACCCAGGTTGAATTCCTGACCAGTGCACAAGTGCAGCTACCACCTGTCTGTCAGTGGAGGCTTGCATGTTGCTGTATGACGCTGAACAGGTTTTAGTGAAGCTTTTAGACTAAGACAGACTAGTAAGAAACTCCTGGTGATCTACTTCTGAAAAATCAGCCAGTGAAAACCCTGTGGATCACAGCAATCCAATCCGCAACTGATCATGAGGACCGGGCAGCATTTTGTTCCATTGCGTGTGGGGTTGTCATTAGTTGGGGACCTGACTCATCCAGCTCCAGTATCACAAGCAGGACAGTGAAAGGTGGATTTGGAGCTAAAGAACAATAAATTGATACACCTGTTTATCTTAGTTATTTAGTGCTGCTATAACAGAAATACCACAAGGTGATGGCTTTAACAAACAGAAATTTATTCTCTCACAGTCTAGGAGGCTAGGAGTCAGAATTCAGGGTGGAAACTCCAGGGGAAGTCTTTGTCTTTCTGTCAGTTCTGGGGGAAGGTCCTTGTCATCAATCTTCCCCTGATTTAGGAGCATCTCAGTGTAGGGACCGTGGGTCCAAAGGATACGCTCTGCTCCTGGCTCTTCTTTCCTGGTGGTCCCTCTCCTCTCTGCTTGCTTCTCTCTTTTATGTCTCAAAAGAGATTGACTGAAGATACAACCTAATCCCATAGATTGTATCCTGCCTCGTTAACGTAACTGCCTCTAATCCTCATTAACATCATAGAGGTTAGGATTTACAGCACAGAATAACAACATCACAAAATGGAGGACAACCACACAATACTGGGCATCATGACCTAGCCAAGTTGACACATATTTGTGGGGGGACATAGTTCAATCCCTAACACTGTTTTATCTCTTTTTTTGAGGGGGAAGTTATATTCATTAAGCCCTAAATGGACCAATTCCAACATACCCTTTATTCCTATTTAGTCACCACAAGAGGCTTTACCTCATAACCTAGACTCTCATCTCCACAAGGCTCCGGGCATCCCATAATCTGGCCTCCATTTCTCAACATAACTCCTAAACTCTTCCACAAGGCCCTCTTAGTACATTATCAACAAAATTCCTATGTTCTAAATTTCTGAAGAGGTGTCCTGGTGGCACAATGGTTAAGCACTCAGTTGCTAACCAAAAGGTCAGTGGTTCAAACACAGCAGCTGCTCCAGGGGAGAAGAGACCTGGTGATCTGCTCCCGTAGCCCCAGAAACCCTATGGGGCAGTTCTGCTCTGTCCTGTAGGGATACTATGAGTCAGAATCAACTCGACGGCACACAACAACAGCAGACTTCTAAAGATTGTCTTCACCTTTTTACTCTAGAATTTGACTCATTCCTGAACACACTATCCTGCAGTTCTCTTAAGTGGGGACTGTTTTCTCTCAGATCCTTTTATACCACTGAGTCTAGAGGTGAAGGAGATATTTCCCTTGCTTCTCATTGCTGTACTCTCCATGCTTGGTAAAACCCCCAGCTCTGAGCTTTTGCTCCCTGCCTGTATCCCCTGGTACCCGTTCTTGATACACCTGAGTCACTGTCACTCTTCCCAACACCGTCAAATTTCCTGGTGATCTTAGTGTCAAACAGATGATCCTTTTGATAAGATGTGGCCCTTCATTTTGTTGATCATTCTCTTTCAATGACCTTGTCTTTCATCTCAGAACTCTCACCTGTAGTCATGCCGTTGAATTTGTCATCATTAGTACCAGCAACTTCTCAGAGTCTCGGTTATAAGCATCCTACTTTCTGAGCACTAGTCCTGTACTTCCAGCTCGTTTCTCTAGGTCTCTCTTTCCAAAACCTCTTTGCTCCTTTAGGATCCATTGATCCTACCGCTTTTTGCATTGTCCCTCATTCCCTTCTTTTTATTTTCCTTACCTGGCTTAAATTCCGTGTTTTCTCGTTATAATTTCCAAAACCTCACGACTCTTGCCTCTCTCTTCCATTATGACATATCATCTGGAAAAAACCTAGGTTGGTGAAGTCCAGCTCTTCACTTCTTCTGTGCCTGAGATAGGCAGGGGAACGTGGCTGGAGAAAGCATACACCAGTTCTGACTGGTCTCACTTTAAATTTATAACCAGTAATGTCAAGTGAGCACCTTCTGGCCGCATGCTATATTTTCTCAACTCTCTCCCGCTTTGTAGATGATTATTTCTTACCAGCTTTAGGCTAATGACCTTGCTTCCTATTTCACTAAGAAAATAGAAGTGATTGGAAGAATACTTCCCCACCACCACTTCTGCCAACAAGTCACATCTGTTTCCAAATGTCCTGCCATTTTTCCTTTCACTTTAACTGAACCGTCTTTATTCCCATCGAGGGTCATCACCACCACTTGTGACCTATGTACTGTTCTCTTTTGCCTGTAAAGAGCTTCACTTTCTCTCTCCCGCATCCTTGTATTTTTCCCTCTCTACTGAATCATTCCCGTTAGCAAGCAGGTATCTTGTGTCTTTAATCTTATAAAAACACCTTCGCTTATTTCCCACATCTCCTACAGCTACTTCCCTGTTTCTCTGCTCCCTTCAACAACAGAACTTCCCAAGCAGTGCCATACTAGCAGCCTCCAGTTTCCCTCTTCCCACTTTCTCCTGAACTCTCTCCTCAGGGCTTACTGTCGCACAGCGCCTGCAAGAGAGGGGCCCTGGTGGCACAGTGTTAAGTCTGGTTAAGGACGTCAGTGATCTCTCTGTGGCTAAATCCAGGGGTCTTTCTCTTCTTCCTCGGTTTTTGATTCACTTGATTTTGCCCTACTTTAAACATCTTCTTCACCTGAGTCCAAAGTATTCCATTCTTCCGGTTCTCCTCCTGCCTCGTCGGCTGCTCCTTCTCAGCCTCCTCCACAAGCCCTCCTCACCTCCCTGACCTCTGAATGCTAAAGTGCTCAAGAGCGCTGTCCTCGGACGTCTCCCCTCGTGGACTCTCCCCTCTTGGACCTGCACGTGCTCTCTGCTATAGCGTATTGATGTGATGGATGACATGAACTGGTTTCCGAAGGATGAACCAGCATTGCGTGTCTGGAATAAGTCTCACCTGGTCATGGTGTATAATTCTTTTTGCACCTTGCTGGTTTTGCTGTGCTAATATTTTTTGAGGACTTTTGCATCTCTGTTCATGAGAGATGTTGGTTTTTTTTGTTTTTTGTGATGTCTTTATCTGGTTTTAGTATTAGGATAATGCTAGGCTCATAGAAAATGAGTTAGGAGCTACTCCCTCTGCTTCTATTTTCTAGAAGAGATTGTAGAGAATTATTATCATTTCTTCCTTAAATGTTTGCTAGAATTCACCAGTGAAACCATCTAGGCCTGATGCTTTCTGTTTTGGAAGGTTATTAATTTTTCTTTTTTTTTGTTTTAATTGTACTTCAGGTGA